TTTTTTTTTTTTAACTTACAAGTTTTTTTACTTTTGTGATGGTGCAAAAAGTTACATTCAGTAGAAACTACTTCAAATTTAAAATTTTAATCTTCTACTATGCTAGAGTACACTACTCACTTCTCATGCTGGACAGCAATCAAGGCACAGCTACAGTTAGCAAGAAAGTCTTGAAAGAAGATAAACTATGTTTTACATTGTGCTGTGTTGCTGAGTTGTGATGTTCAGCAGCTACATTTTCTTTTTAAATATTTTTTTCAACTTAAATTATTTTTCTCTGCAATGGTGTTTTAGACCCAGTGTATGAAAACAGGTGGCCAAAGACGAAAAAGTCCAAGAGATGAAAGAAAAAAATGTTCAGATCTAGGATTGAACAAAATGCAATTAGGGTTTAGAACAAAAGTGTGTCCTGGGGCTGGGGATTTGGCTCAGTGGTTCTGGACCTGCCTCAAAAGCGCAAGGACCCATTCGACCCCAAGTACCCCCCACAAAAACCTGTGTCCTTCATAGTGGCAAGGTAGGAGGACTCCTGGACCTGAGGCAGGAGTTACATGCTAAATAGACAAAGACCATCCAGAATATTACCTGGATTTTTTTGTGTTTTTTTGGTACCCTGGATCAAACTCAGGACCTTGTGTTTGCGAGGCACAGTGCCACTGAGCTAAATCCCTGGTCCTCCTGGTCTTTCTTTTATATGTTTTTTGTTTTTGTTTTATTTTATTTTATTTGGTACCGGGGATCAAACTTGGGTCCTTGCATTTGAGAGGCAGGCACTGGAACCACTGAGCTAAATCCCTGGCCCTTGATTTATTTTTAGAGGTCTTACTATGTAGGTGAGGCTGGCCTTGAACTCATGACAATCCTCCTGCCTCAGCCTCCCAAGTGTTGGGATTATAGGCAAGTGTCACTGTGCCCAGCCTACCTGGCCTTTCTTTAAAAAAAAAATTAAAATATTCAGCATCAGTTCAGAAACAGCCTGGGTGTCATTGGATAGCAAAATATGCTCCAATGACTATCTTTTTCTTTCTTTCTTTCTTTCTTTCTTTCTTTCTTTCTTTCTTTCTTTCTTTCTTTCTTTCTTTTTTTTTTGTTTTTTATTTTTTTTTTTTGGTTTTTTGAGACAGGGTCTCACTATGTAGTTGAGAGTGATCTGGAACTCACTACGTAGCCCAGGCTGGTCTTGAACTCACAGTGATCCTCCTGCCTCAGCCTCCCGAGTGCTGGGATTACAGGCATGCGCCACCATGCCCGGCTTTCCAATGACTATTTTAATGACTGTCCTGTAGGGTTGGGGATATGTGCCAGGATCATCTCGTGGACAGAATGGCAGTAACAACCAAGATGGCTGTGCTCATGTCAAGCTGGACCCTCCAAATGGATTTATCAGCCTATGATCCCATCATAAATCAAGGAAAATCTGTATACGTACATCATGTTCATAGCAATACTACAATAACCAAAAGATGCAGACATCTCAGCTGTCTGTGGATGGACTGTGATGTGTATAGGATATAATTCAGCCATAAAAAGAAATGAACTACTGATACATGGATGAACCTTTAGAACATCCCAAGTGAAAAAGCTCAAAAGGTCATAAAATGTATGTTTCTATCACAAAAATGCCCAGAATAGACAAATCCACAGGGGCAGAGTAAAGATGGGTAGTTGCCAGAAGCTGGAATGAGGAGAAGATAGGGATAGACTGCTTACTGAGTAAGGTTTTAGAGGAGTATGGAATTAGGGTATTGCTGTTACCCAGACAGCCCTCAAATTCCTAGAATCAGGCATTCCTGATCTGTTCTCCAAGTAGCTAGGGCTATGGGCACAGGACATGTCTGATGCATGCCTGGCTGTGTGTGAGGGATTTTATTTTGGAGTAATGCAGAAGTTTTTGAAAATAAAGTGATGGTTGCACAGTATTGTAAACTGATCACTGTAGAATGATTATTTATGTAAACTTAATAAATTATTAACAGGAAACAAGTCACTGTAGGAGGTGGATTACTAATGGATTTCCCACTTGAGTGTGAGGTTCCTTTTGGGGTCTGCACAGCCCAGTGCCTTGCCAAGGCCCTGAGGTTGCTACTGCGCTCTCCTAGTAAGCTTCTTGGTTTCAGTCACAAGGGGCCCCAGTGGACCCATTGTGATGAGGGACTCTAGCCACACAGTTGGAAGCTACTGATCATAAATGTTTCTTCTCCAGGAAAATACTTTGTCTTTTGCTCTAGAAGGACTGAATCCCAGTATAGTGAGTGTAGTGCAGGTGGCCATTTGCTCTCTGGTCTTTTTTTTTGCTGTTAAGCCCAAATTTTAATGGCATTTTACGGATTTTTCCTAAAGGGAGATTTTACTTCTGATTTTGTATTTTCTTTCCAAAGAAGAACTTTTAACATTTTTAACTGTATTTCTTGGGTTGCAAAGATGAATTACATCAAATTATTTAAATCCAAAAGTAAGGGCTGTGGATCTAGCTCAGTGGTTCCGGTGCCTGCTTTGCAAGCACAAGGACCCGAGTTCTATCCCCGGTACCAAAAAACAAACAAACAAAAAGTGATCTCCTGTCCCACAAAAGTCAGTTTTGATCACTGTCTCAGTAAGAGATTCATCTAAATAGTGGCTCAGGCTAGAATGCCATTTTCCCATTGCCACACCTCCTATCTACTCTGCTGACCTCTCAATCGGTGGTCACCAAATTCAGCTAATGGGCTGTTTCATATGTCCTGTGAACTTAAACTGATATTGAAGGTTTTTAAATGAATATCTTAAAACAACTACAAAGGACCATTTGACAGAGACCATGTAGCCATGAAGTGTCAAATACGTTTTTTCAACTTTTACAGAAAAGCTGTACTAACCGCTGTTTCTGTTATTGCCACAGCTTTCATCCTTCTCTGTTTGGTTCTTTCTACGTAGCCAGAAGAGGCCAGTGGACTTCCAGACTGGTGACTTGGCAGGAAGGGGAATGTGTAGCAAGCTCCAGACCATAGCTGGCAAGACCATGGAATCCCATCCAGGTCTTGCTTGTCCCTGTGGCCCTCACCATTCCCTCTATTCCTTCTGAGACCCCAGTGGCATGTGAATATCACATTTCCTAAATGCACCATAGAACCAAGGCACCTCTAGGGTTGGGGGCATTGTGACTTGAGACGTAACCACACTGTATCTGAGCCACAGGTGTCAGTGAACAGAACATGAAACATCAGCATGAGAAACTGGTGCAACAGGCAGAGGGGCTGGATCTGTGAGGGCTGGGCATATGGCCAAGTTGCATTTGCAGTTGACATCGCGGGCAGCTTCTGGGAATGAATGTGTGTAGCCTTGGAAGCAGTTCTACATGTCACAGATAGGTAGGGGTACTGAGAAAGTGAGGCAGGGGCCAGTGACATTTGAAGAATGTCCTTAACCAATGAGCATTAATGACAATAGCTCAACAGGGATCCTCCCTGACTGGTTTCAGGGAGTGCACTGTGCTGTGCAGGAGATAGCAGGGACGGGTAAGAAGAGGGAGAGACTGGTACATACGTTCAGTAGTCAGTGAAGGGCTCTCCACTGAGGCACATTTGAGCAGAAGTTGGCAGGAGGGCCAACAATATGTCTCATACCTGTCTATGCTTCTGTAAAGAAAAATGGGCTTCTTGATACCTGCAGCAAGGCTCTGCCTCTTCACATTGTTGAGTCTTAAGACCAAACCTAAACATCACTAGCTAGTACTAAAAGAAAAAGATAGGCCTAAGAGGTTTGCATCTTACAATATTGAGAAAGAAAAGGTAGGTCAATATGTAATTATGTAACAGCATATGATATTTCTTTGTGTGGGTGGGAGGAGTAAGAAGCACATGGATTCGGGCATATTTTCAAGTAACACTGACTGGAATTCCTCCAAGTGTGATGGGAAAGGAAACTGGGGGCACCTAGCATCTTGGCCTGAGCCAGCAGAGAAGCTACAGGTGCATCTCTGGGATGTGGAATCCTGGGGAAGGTGGGTAGCTCTTGCTGTTCAGCTTCTGTGTAGCATTATCATCCAAGAGCTCTGTCAGCTCTCTATAGTTCCTTTGCAAGATCTAGACTACCATCTATGGTGGGTTCCCTGTTCCTCATGCTTCCTCTGCTGAAGGTGAGGCCAATGGCCCTGTAGACTTGTCTGTATGCTGTCTTATTCCAATCATAATAGTTCCTTCTATGACTGAGTATTTATTGTTTCAGATTGTGATACCAAGACTGAAGACAAAGAGTGTTGTCTGAAGGAAAATGTTTGTGAGGATTTGAAATCACAGGCAGAAATATCAGAAAACTGTGCAGGTGATGTTTCCCAGATGGCTGAGTTTGGAGAACTCTGTGAGGACATAATAGAAAGGGACTGGAGGGTCCCTGGAGATGAGAACCTGGTACAGCCTCTCCACCAGAAGGGGGACTTCACACCAGTAACAGCGCTCCTTCAGGATCCCTTAAGGGAGAAAGGTCTGGATTGTCATAGTTTTGACCAAAGCTTCAATCTGAGCCCAAGCTTGATGGTATATCAGGGAGTCCCTATGGAAGAGAGGCCACGTCTGTATGACACATATGGCCTTAATGCCTTCCAGCACATTGAGGACCTAACTGATTGTGAGGGTGTTCCCCTAAGTGAAAGCCCATTCATATGTAATGGGTGTGGAAAAACCTTCAGAGGAAACATTGACCTTTTTCAGCATCAGATAGCTAACACTGGAGAGAAGTCCTTTATGTGTGATGAATGTGGGAAATCCTTCAGCCAGAACTCAGTTCTTAAAAACCATCAGCCATCTCTTGTGAGTGTGAAAGCCTACCAGTGCAGTGAATGTGGGAAAGCCTTTCGTGAGTGTGCAGACCTTGCTAGGCATCAGATTCATCACAGCAGTGAGAGGCCTTATGTGTGTAATGAATGTGGAAAAGCCTTCAGCCAGAACTCAAGCCTTAAAAAGCACCAAAAGTCTCACATGAGTGAAAAGCCCTACGAATGCAACGAGTGTGGAAAGGCTTTTAGGCGGAGCTCAAACCTTATCCAACATCAGAGAATCCATTCTGGGGAGAAACCATATGTGTGTGACAAATGTGGGAAGGCCTTTAGGCGGAGCTCAAACCTCATTAAACACCACAGGATTCACACAGGGGAGAAGCCTTTTGAGTGTGGGGAATGCAGGAAGGCCTTCAGCCAGAGTGCACATCTCAGAAAGCATCAGAGGGTTCACACCGGAGAGAAACCTTACGAATGTAACGATTGTGGCAAACCATTCAGTCGAGTTTCCAACCTCATTAAGCATCACAGGGTTCACACTGGAGAGAAACCTTACAAGTGCAGTGACTGTGGGAAAGCATTTAGTCAGAGTTCCAGTCTTATTCAGCATCAAAGAATTCACACTGGAGAAAAGCCTCACGTGTGTAAGGTGTGTGGAAAAGCGTTTAGTTACAGTTCAGTGCTCAGGAAGCACCAGATAATCCACACAGGAGAGAAGCCGTATGGATGTAGTGTCTGCGGGAAGGCCTTCAGCCACAGCTCCGCTCTCATCCAGCATCAGGGAGTGCACACTGGTGACAAGCCCTACGAGTGCCATGAATGTGGGAAGACTTTTGGTCGCAGCTCCAACCTCATCCTTCACCAGCGAGTCCACACTGGAGAGAAACCCTATGAGTGTACCGAATGTGGAAAAACTTTCAGCCAGAGCTCAACTCTCATTCAGCACCAGAGGATTCATAATGGTTTGAAACCCCATGAGTGTAACCAGTGTGGTAAAGCCTTCAACCGAAGCTCAAATCTTATTCACCACCAGAAAGTTCACACTGGGGAGAAGCCCTACACATGTGTTGAATGTGGTAAAGGCTTCAGCCAGAGCTCACACCTTATTCAACATCAGATAATCCACACTGGTGAGAGGCCATACAAATGCAGTGAATGTGGAAAAGCCTTCAGTCAGCGTTCGGTTCTAATCCAGCACCAGAGAATTCACACTGGGGTAAAGCCCTATGACTGCACTACCTGTGGGAAAGCATTCAGCCAGCGGTCAAAGTTAATTAAACACCAGTTGATTCACACCAGAGAGTAGTCTATGGGCTGGGACGAATGAAATCAAACCATGCTCCTTTCAGACTCTTCTGGCCTTTATCTCAGCCTCTACACCTTCCCAGACCTGAAACTCAGGCTCACTCAATCATCTACACATTCAGCTACCACAACACCCGGATCCCTCCTTACAATCACCCAGTACAGGCTCCCTTCCCCTGCCATTCCTCTATCTCCTGTGATCTCTTGTAGGTATTTTGTTTTGTTTTTAAGTTTGTGAATAGGTAACCATATTTGCTAGGAGGAAAAGATTATGAAGGCTGCATACTTATGAACAGAGTGTATTATTGTAGTCAGAAATTACCAAGCTGGGCATGGTGGTGCATGCATATAATCTCAGCACTTGGAAGGCTGAGGCAAGAGAAATACCACAAGTTCAAGGCCAGCCTTGGCTACATAGTGATTTCAGGGACAGCCTGAACTACATAGCGAGACGCTATCTAAAAAGAAAAAAAAATTGTTAACTAAAAAAAAATGACCTTTGGTTGGAGATAGCCACAGTAATTCTTTTGTTTGGCAATTAATCACAAGGAGTAAGTTCTCTGCCAGTGGCTGTTGTTGATATTTTGTTTACATAAAATCAGACTGAGCGTTTTTCAGGTCTGGTTGGTCTGTCATCCTCCCCAGAGGTGATAAACTAATTCTTCACCCCCTCCTTGCTGACTCCATTATACAGCATGCACCCAAGACTTCCCCACTCTTCTGCTTTCCTTTATGTATATCTGCAATCAGATCAGCTGCCTCCTCACTGCTCTGCTAAGACTTAGGGTCCTAGCCTCCAGTTCTGTACCTCATTGTGCAGTCCCCCCAGAGACAGCCCTCTCTGTACCTCATTTTCTTCCCTATAAGCTTCCATGCTCAGTCTTTTCCAAGATACGTATGTCACCAGATATTTTTGGAGTACCTTCTAGGTGCCCTGCTCTTAAACCACCTCACCAACCCTCACCCTCATTTTCCCAGAGATGTGGCCACCCCTGGCCCCTGGATAGACAGAAAGTCCAGATTTGACATGTCTCACTAGAGAGGCCTGCAGACACCAGCTAATAAGTCACAGGATCTGCAGGCCAAGTCTGGCACACTTGTCAGTTAATTTTTGTCAGGACGCATCTGTGCCATTGGCTTACAGATATCTGTGCCAGGTTTTACATGCCAGAACTGAGAAATTATGATAGATAACCATATAGCCCACAAAGCCAGACTTTACTTTCTGCCCCTTTACAGGAAAAGTTTGCCAACCCAGCCTGTTGCATCCAGACTTTGCCCACAGGTTCAAGAATTCTTATAGGATTTGAGGTGCATTTTCTGACCAGGGGACTAAACTGTGCTGTGGAATGATTGTATTTGTGCCATGTGTGGTTCTTGACCAGCTCTCGTAGCCACACAAGATCCCTCCTTAACCTTCCTTGAACATTTTAGGCCCTTGGGGGGGAAACAAGACCTAGCATTGAACTGAATTCTTATTAGAGTCAGTTTTATGAAGAGTGCGTGGCCTGATGTGGATGGCAACTTCAAACTGTCCCGAGTTCTTCACAGTCTGTTAGGTGTATCCACAGACTGCTCGAATTCTGACTCAGTAGAACAATAGTAGACTTAGTGGCAATCTTCCACAAAAGATTCCAGAACACTCCCACATAAACTGCCCTGCTGCTTGAGAGCACTGCTCTGCTCTGACCCAAGCCAGTAGGAGCAGGTGTTGAACTTCCCTCTTTTTCTGTGATTTGACTTAGTATCTTGGGCAGCTGTATTAGAGCCCAAACTAATGCTTGTTCTCCACCAGCAGCAAGGAAGGAATAAAGTGCAGGTTGTGGATTCTATGCTGAAAAGGCAGCAGAGAGCTCCCAGGGTGTGTGGAGTAGATTTCATGAGTTTTGAGTAGTTACAAATGACAAGTGTCCACTATAACCTTCATTTTTGCGATTTAAAACTCCCCATTAGTAAAGACAGTTTTTCCCCAACACTGAGCTGCAGATGCACCTTTCTCCAGAATGTCAGCATGTGCTTCTCAGCAAAAACCTTCTCTCCCATGGCCATAGTGTCATTGTCAAACTCAGAGAATAAATGATGATGGTGCACATACTCTATAAGCCTTATTAATGCTTTGACACTTGTCCAAGTGGTGTCCCTTATAGCAAGTAGAAATGTTTTTTCCTGGTCCAGAAGCCAGTCTTCAATCACATGTGTGTAGTTGTCATGTCCTCCTGCCTAAAATAGTTCAGTCCTTGTCTTTCATGACAGACATTTTTTTAAGCACATGGGCCATTTATCTTGTAGAATATCCTTCCTCTTGGATTTGTCTGGTGTTTCCTGATGACTTTGGCAGAAACCATGGAAGATGTGTTCTTGAGGGCCATGTTTTTTTATTTTTTTTGGTCTCTCAGGTGATGTTATTCTTTATCACTTGCTACACTGTGAAGTTACTGTTTTCCCCTTTGTAATTAAGTATTTTCTGGGAAGAGGCTTTGAATATATGTAGACAACCTGCTTTTCATCAGTTTTTACCCCATTTAGATCTCTGTATGATTCATCCTAATTCTGATACCAAAGAAAGAGATGTGTTTCCTCCATGTATTTGTTCGTTAATATAGTATGGACTCATTGATTCCTGTATGTAAAATGAGTTCCAGTTTGTTACTTTTCTTTTATTTATTGAGAAGATTGCCCAGGTTTTGCCATTGGGGGCCATTCAGGCTGTGCTTAGGTCCTTCATTTGTTAGCACTGCCCTTGCTTTCTAGCACAGCAAACTCTTCCAATCTCATTCTATATGTTCCTTCCCCCATCTGTGGAATAAGTTCTTTTCCCAAGAAGTCCTGGGGTTTTTGTGCAGAAGGTTTTGGGAAATAAGACCTGAGTGTTGGATGTGTGCATTGTTACTAGACACTTACTTCTAAGGCCTTTCAGCAGAAAGCTAGGAAACAGATGTTGTGTGCTTACACATACACTATTTTGTAGCAACTCCTACACCTGTCAGTATTTTAAAAATCACCAGTTCTGTTTCACACAGAGTTTATTCTACTCTTCCCTTTTCCCATATTTGTAATAACCCAGCCTTTTTAAAAACAGAAATATGGTTCCTGTTATCGTCAATATATATACTGAATATTTTTGCTCATTCCTAGACTATACTAATAGTAGTCTCAGAATTGTTAATCCATAATCATTGTAAAAACATTGATTACTCAGTATTTGTCTACAAGTCTTCTATTGGTTTGAGGCTATACAGTCAAAATACTATGGTCAAGCTGGGTGTGTGGTGCACACCTGTAATCCCAGCACTTGGGAGGCTGAGGCAGGAGGATCACCATGAGTTCATAGCCAGCCTGAGCTACATAATGAGTTGAAGGCCAGCCTGAACTACAGAGTGAGACCTTGTCTCAAAAAACAACAACAACAACAAAAAAAAACCCAAAAAATACTATGTTAAAAATATACTTGAGTCTTGGTTTTGTCTTTTTTCTCCTTCATATTGGGTAGGTTTGTTTCTGTTGTGTTCCATATTAGTGGTTTCCTATATCTTTGTCAGTTTCTTTTTTTATAGGCTAGTGACTCCATTTTTAAATCATAAAGATTCTTCAAAGGGACATTAGAAAAATGGAGACATAAATAGTAAAGTCTTATCTTGTTCATTCTTAGACATAATATCTTTGGGGGGGTTGGGGTTTTTTTGGTTTTGGTTTTTCTTGTTTTTTTGGTTTTTTTGAGACAGGGTCTCACTATGTAGTTGAGACTGACCTGGAACTCACTATGTAGCCCAGGCTGGTCTCGAACTCACAGCAATCCTCCTGCCTCAGCCTACCAAGTGCTGGGATTACAGGCATGTGCCACTACACCCGGCTGGGTGGGGGGGGTTGTTTTTTAAGACAGGATCTTGCTTTGTAGTTCAGGCTGGCCTTGAACTCACTATGTAGCCCAGGCTGGTCTCGAACTCACAGCAATCCTCCTGCCTCAGCCTACCAAGTGCTGGGATTACAGGCATGTGCCACTACACCCGGCTGGGTGGGGGGGGTTGTTTTTTAAGACAGGATCTTGCTTTGTAGTTCAGGCTGGCCTTGAACTCACTATGTAGCCCAGGCTGGCATCAAACTCATGGCAACCCTTCTGCCTCACTTTCCCAAGTTCTGGGATTACAAGTGTGCCCTGCCACACCTGGTGACACAATATATTGAGGGTTAAATTTTTCCTAACTTTTCTATGGATTCAGTACAGCCTCAGTCAAAATCAAATTGAAATAATTTGGGAACTAATCCAAATTATCCTAAGTAGCAAGTGTGTTAATGTTTGTTTAGTAGCAAATAAAGACATCCATTCAACTAGCATTAAGTTAGATGAATTTATTGGAGAGCTGTAGACAAACCCACTTTATGCCATTGAGGACAGCGAAGCATGGATAGCAACAACTTAAAGTTCTCTTTCCCCAGTGTCCTTTTCATTCCTTTTAAATGTGTCAGATAAATTGTGTGTGATAGTGCATGGCTGTAGCCCCAGCATGTGGAAGGCTAAAGAAGGAAGATTGGGTTGGGAATTTAGCTCAGCGGTTCCACTGATCTGCTTTGCAAGCGTAAGGTCCTAAGTTCAATCCCCAGTACCCTAAAAAAGGAAGATTGTTTATTTGAGACTCATCTGGGCTACATAGTGAGTTCAAGTCCAGGCTGAACATGGCAAGGTGCTGATTTTATTCAGAAAGGAAGAGGGGAGAGAAATGAAGGAAACAGCTACCCTAAATTTACTGCCTGGTTCTTAGTTCCTGGTTCACATCAGGAGCACGACTACTTTGAAATAACAGGACTAGCCTCAAATGCATCCACTCAGTCCAGCGACTCCTCTTGGGGCTATCAGGGTATCTGCAGGCCAAGGTCAGGGGTTAAAAATCAAGAGTTCTCTTTAGAGCCTGTCAAGTTTGAAGTATCCATAAGAATCTAACTGAAGCTGAGATATGTTAACTGAACCCTAGGCCTCAAGGAAA